GAGTATGCTGCTAGTACTCTGCTAGTGTGCTGGGCTGTTGTTTTTCTGCTCATGTTTCTGGAAGAACTTCAAAGCCACCTACGACGCACTAACGATGAAGTTTTCAATGCGCATCTGATCAGCAAAAGCCACCCAAAAATAATGTATATTCGACCCCCCTGGACATACATTAATCCCTGCCCGGGCCTGGAAATGTATGAGTGCAAATGCCGTACCGGGGCCCTGAATATACATTGTTTGGCGTACCCCTGGAAGCGCATAGAAAGCCTGCAAAGAGTCCCGACAGGGGGGCACCTTGGCCTCCTTCCTGCGCCCAGCCGCCACAACGCCGGCTAATCTCCGAGCTGCCGCACGTGCTACGGCGACCTGCGCAGGACGTCACGTCTCTTCTGTCGGAGGTTCCCCGGCGGCGCGCCTCCGGCATGAGGCCCACGAGGCCGTAAAGACCCAGGCCTCGCCGGTCGGTCGCGGTCGCGCGAAAGAACCCTTCTGCGCAATGGTCTCCCCGGGCCGGCGACCCAAAAAGGATGCATGGAAGAAGTAGGAGGTCAGCTCTCCAGCGGTAAGCTCGCCGCCTTTCCGAAACTCAGAAAAATCTGGAAGCGTCAATTTGCCCCTTTCAAGGCCGCCGACGGGCGACCAGCTGCGACCCCAGAGAAGCCAGTCCGAGGAGCACAGATTTCGCTGCCCAGTCTAGCACCTAAGTCGTCGTAGTCGTAGACCATGTCCGCCAACTTTCCCAAACGCAGCTTCTCCCTGCCTCTACTTGACATTGTGAAGAAATCCTTCTTGTAGGAATATATGTTTCGACGACTGTCTTCCCAAGTCAGCGGCCAGGTGGGAGGCTCCACGGACCCTCGCAGACCGCGAGGCAATGGCCACCGAGGCGTCGCAGAGCTTGCCAAACCTGACACAAATGAAGCAGGGGAAAAGGAATAACTGTTTCCCAAGTCCCCGGCTGCTTGGCTTCCTCCTCCGCCTCGGGGCCCGGGCCAAAGCTGCCCGCAGGCTCCGAAGCAAAGAGAGGTCCCGGCACGGCAGAACCATCGGACGAGGTCCAAGTGCTGCAGCCGCTCCTCTAGGACTCTAGGAACTCGACAAAACCCGCCCCGTCCCCTTCCCTGGCGCTCTGAGCTCGGCTCCTCCGCAAAGGCCGAGGCCTCCTCCCGGGTCGCTGCCTCAGGAGCGGGGCGTGATATCTAAACCCTGAAGGCCCAAAAACCGTCTAAAAGAAAAGAGCCCTTGACTTGAAGCCTTGCCCCGAAAAGAGCCCAAAGCCTTATAACCTCCCTGGTAGGTCAGAACCAGAGAACCCAAAGCCCGACACCCAGAGACGCCCCCCACATTTTAAGCGAAAGGCGCCTTTCCGAGGCCTGGGCCAGGGCTTCCGCGGACTTCGCAGAGCGCTTGGCGCCGGCCTCGGTCTCTTCACCGACTCCCCCGTGCTTTGTGCCTTTTGGGGCTCAGTGCGGCTCTGAAAAAAAGAAGGGGTCCGTTTGGGGGATCTGGATCTTCCGGGTTGAGGGGCGAAGATGTCTTCGGCTGTCTTCGTCTTCTTGCCCTGACAACCCGCCTTGAGGCTCGTGCCCGGGCTCCGTGCAGGGCGCCGGTGACCAGGAGGGGCCACACCTGAGAAGCGTTTTTTGAACGGTCCGAGGTCCCTCGATCCGGCCTTTGAGGGCGCCGCAGCTGCACTCAGCTTCCAGGATGCACGGAACATGGTCACTGTCCCGCCCACGATCGAAGACCTGCAAAGATGCTTGCACTGTCGGGGTGGGATGCCGTGTTTTCGATGCCGTAAAAAAACTGTCGCTTAGGATCTTAGGTTTGGGGAAACGCTGCCCAAGCCACGTGTAGCGGACCTTGGCATCTTGACAGAGAGTCCGAGTGTGGCCACAGGCTCTTCAAAGGGTTTTCTCTGGGCTTCTGGCCAAGTTCTGGAGCTTCAAGATGAAGTCCGCGCCTTGGACACTTCGTCTTCTCGAATCCAGCGCAATTAAAGGCACCCCACAAGGCAGCAAAGAAAGAAGCAGGGGGGTGGGGGAGCTCGGAGGGCCGAGGAGCAGAGGGCCACGTCGCTCTCCATCGAGGCCACGGAGACGGAGGCCCTCTGCTCCTGGGAGGCCGAGGCCTCCCCCTGGGAGGAAACCTCCATCAAAACACATCCATCAAAACCACGAGACAGCGGAGACAGGGTCTCGTTTTAAGTGCCTTTCTGGGCGCGCCTGCGGCTCCTCCAAGAGCCGGGCGGCGAAGACCTCACAAGCAAAGAAGGGCGCAAAGGGCCCCTCCCCCTCTCCCTCTCCTCCACGGCCATGGAGGCACGGAGGCGCTCCGAAGTGCTGTCGAAGCTGATGGTCCTCACGCAGCCTGCGCGCCCGTCTCTCCCGAACCCCTCTCTCGCCGTCCCCTGGCTCGCCCTCTTCACGCCTTGCCTGCCAAAGCCCCCAGGCCGAAAAGCAAAAGGCTGCGCGTCGAAGACCGGCCTCAAAAAGGAGTCGTGCACGGAGACTTCAGACAAGGGGGCTCTTCACCGCTGCCTTCCTCGGCACTCTCGATGGCCTGCTTGAGCTGCGCGCCGGTCCGGAAGTTCACGAAACCTCGACACTGCAGATTATTGAGAGCAGGACACAGAGCCGCCACATGCCGCAACCATAAACCAGGGGGGCACACTTGCGATGGCCAGCGCGCCGGCACCCAGCGTGAGCGGTGCCAGCTCCGGCCACCTGCAAATGCCATGCTACGCGCCCCGTGCTGGGTCGAGGATGCGCGAGTGAGGCGTAGACAGGTGGCGCAGCAGCCAGGCATCCTCTGCATAGTTGACACCGACTGTGCAGGCCGCAGGCCGCGCGTGGAAAGCTGGGCAACCCACTGCGTCATGCATGCTGATGCTGATGCTCACCGCCACGCGTCCATGTGAGCTCAGGCCAGAGTCAGGGACTGGCGGTTATGCCGCTTCTCAAGTCGTGTGTGAGACAGTGGGCGAGTTGCGCTGCTCGCCGGTCGCACAGGTATGCTACAGTACGCTGCTAACAGAACGCTGCTAACCGGTGAGTGAGAAGTTGCCGTACATGGTACGGAGTCTGCATTGACATGCATTGACGCTCGTCACTACACACAGAATGCTGACAAAGCAAAACGTGCTTGGTTTCGCAGGTCAGCTGAATGAAGGTCTGGCTAAGATTTGTATGGTAGAAGGTTCGAAGTTCAATTTGTGGTCAAGGTCCGGTTGCAATTCTGCAAAAAAGCGAGGATGGGTGGTGGGGTGGTGGCAGCACTGGTACAGTAGCTGCTGCAAACTCATCACGCAACATATGATCAACTTAAGTGCCCGAGACGTGGCGGAAGCATGTCAACCCACTTCGCTCACACCGTTGCAATCCATGCAATGTGACACAAGAACCCCTGTCTTCCAGCAATGATGGATTTGCACCCGGTGCAGACACGTGAAGGGCCTTCTGTGCTATAGATCTCCTAATGATCGACACCTCGCAAGAGACCATGCACACAGCTGTCAGGGGTGAGTCCCGCAAAGCAACTGGGATCACGACCAGGAATGATCCAATTTCCGACAAGATTGCCACTGTTCTCTGCTTGCAATCCGAGGCCGCGCGAGTCTCACGAGCTGGCAAGACCTCTTCCAGACATCTCCTTCTCGGTGCGCTCCAGCGAAGCTTTGTCGCTGGCAAGCCCTAGAACTAGCGGGGTCCCTTACTCCTGGGCTCCCTTGCAAGCAGTGCCTTTGGGGCGTTGGTCAGTGCTGGGTCTCGAGGGGAAGTCTAAGCTTACAGCCAGCATGGGGGCCCTAAGAGACTGGATCGCAAGACTAAGCACTGCGAAGGTACTCAGAGGAAGTGCTCTTCTTGCTCCGGGCGATTCTCGCAAACCTCGGAAGATCAACCCCCCCCCCCCCGTTTGTCCGGCTTGGTGCAGAGTGCAGCGCCTAGGGATTCAGGAAGTTCTCGAGACTTTAGGCTTCTGGGGTTGTGCCTTCTGGCAATAGAGACCAGGCGGATGCGCTGCGTGACCTCCAGCACCGCGCTGCGACTACAGGGTTCCGGCATTTACGAGCTCCGACTCGTTCCGACGGCCCGGCTCGACCAGGGCGTGACGATCGCCCGGGGACCCCGCACCGCCTCGTGAACGCGTTGAAAGGGCGAAGCCTGTGCTTGCAAGGGCCGGAGCCTCCACAGAAGCCATCAGTGGCTCGGTAATCAAGTTCTTGCCTTGCTCCTCTGCCTCCAAACGGGGTCAATGGTGACAGTGGAGACACTGTCAGAGTGTTGGTCCCTGCACCTCCTTGAGAGCCCCGGACAAGGCGTTCTTGAAGGCCCTGCCGCAAGCAGAGATATCTCTCTTCCGCGGCGGCGCAGCTGCTGGGTCTGGGTCTTGCCTGCGAGCCAGCTTCCTGGTGCCTCGAAAGGAAAGGGAAGGCCCGAAGTGCCCCGCCCCGAGAGGGCCCCCTTTGCAAGCCCCCTCATAAGAGGGTTTTTGGAAAAAAAAAAAAGAGTGTGTTTTTTTAACAACAAGAGGGTTTAGGGTTTAGGGAACCCTCTTCTCTGTTTTAAAAACCCTCAATCCGAGGCCCAGGCGGAGAGCCTCCAAGTGCGCCTCGTCGGTCTCCCCCGCAGCCTGAGGAGAAAATGGAGGAGCGCCAAGAACGCACGGACGGCGAGCGAACTGGCTCGCAGTAGATCTCCAGGAAGCGGGCACTGGCCACCAGCTTCTGAATGCCCGGAAGCCTACATCGCATGGCATCGCATCGCAGAAGTGCGTCCGGATTCCAGATGCACCAGCTCAGCCCTCCTTTTTCGGCCAAAACGCACGAGGGAATCTTGCGAAACCCATTCTTGAGTCCTGCGCCCTTCACATCAGGGTGCTCCAAAACCGCGGTGTGCTTTGGTGTCGAGAAGTGAATGCCCCAGCCCAGCCCTATCGGAAAGCTTCATGGAGAACTTGAGTCGCGAAACTGAGGATTTGCACAGTGCGGCGGGGCCTGCGAGCCTTCACAAACAGCGTCGTCTTTTTTTGGGGGTCTTTAAAACTGCTCCTGCCAAGCTCTCCCTTCCTGGGTCCTTGGTCGAGGAGCATGGATAAGAATAAGTGATTTAAATCTGAGAACCACGGTCCGCTGTTCACACGGAACGCTTTTCTGGCCTCCGGGCGCCTCCGAGCCAGGACCCCGCCCCCTAGAAACCCCACCCCCACCCCCAAAACTTTCCCCCCCCCCTTTCCGCCACCTGTTCGCATTGTCGCAGCCTGTGTGACTAAAGGCTGGGGCCACTCAGGGCTCTCTGGGAAGCGCTCAAGGGATGGCCGGAACGGCGCTGGAAGCGAGCACTCTTCGCTTCCTTGCGCCAAAAAATTCGCGCTTTTCAGGACCGTCACTTGCAATCTACGGGTGTGCGGACCGGAATGGCTTCGCCGGAAGGTCCGCGAATTCAACTGCTTTTGTGCAGCTTGCAGATTGCAGTCAAAAAGATCAAAATGGAGGGTTCTGCGCTTCTTGTTTACAGGGAGCAGATCAACACCTCGTCATGCACGTCGAAATCTGCAAGGCCTGGTCAGACAAGTTGTCAAGCCGGAAGAATGAGAGCAGTCGGGCAGCAGCAGGGGAGGCCTCTGCCCAAGTACGCGAAGCCGCCATAGGGACCTGCGGAGGGCGCACGTTGGAGAGACTCCTCCAAGCTTCTTCGCCGTAACTGCCAAGCCACAGTCCGGCTCAGCACTGCTGTGGTTCACCAAAGGCCTCAAAGAGGCAGCCAGAGGCAGCGCAGACTTTGCAGAGAGACTTCTGCCAAGGCACGGTAGCCAGGTGTAGTCCGCTGCACCCTGCTTCTGCAGCATCTGAAGGGTGATGGGCTGGAAGCAGCCACCTGAAGGAGGCTCTCAGGCTGAGGCCAGCCCCGGCCATCGCAGGGGGGTGACTGGGACTGAGAAACCGCTTCGTCTCTAAGTGGGGTCGCACAGACGCAATAAAAGCGTTTAGTCCTGCTTAGATTCAGTGGAGTCAGACAATACGCTAAGCGTGAGATCTCAGCGGCGGACGTGCCAGCTGCCGTTCGGCCCATGCATGCGGAACGTGCCTGCAGGGAGAGCGGGCGGGTCCTTCGGGGCAAAAGAACCCAATATTCTCAATTACAAAATACACCGTAGATTACCTAGACCCAACAATCATCCACATACATATTTATAGAGAGAGGGAGAAAGATAGATCTAGATATGGATACAGATATCTATAGATCTAGGTGGACATGAATATAAATACAGAAATCGACCCAGAAGAAAGATATAGATATAGGAATAAGCATAGACATAGACATAGGTATACGTACGGGTAAAGGTATAGGTGCCCATATGCATATACATACACATACGCAAATAGCTGTACATATACATATACTTATACTTGTACTTGTACATATCTACGTATGCATATGCATACACATATACATGTACATCTGCATTTACACATGCATACACATAAATGTGTATATATATATNNATATATATATATATATGCCCCCCCCCCCCGGAGGATCCACCATTTCAGCTGTGTATTCAGCCAGAAGGAGCTGATTCAGAAGACTGCGAGGCAAGCGAAGAATAAGTGCGACGCGGTGCGGATGCCTATGATGCTCTGGTTCATGCTTATGATGCTTGTCAACTTGTCAAGTTGGTGCACGAATGCCCAGGTCTCCACTGGAAGACGTCGAAGGCTAAACCCCAGACCCTTAACCCTAACCATTAGCCCTGGAAGACAACAGTTGTCAGAAAGGGCGAAGAAGGTGGCTCCCCGGGGGCGGACCATACATATATATATATATATATATCGATATATACATATATATATATATATGGTACCCCCCCCCCATGTGCCTACCTTCCTCTCTCATTTAACTCGACTTGGACCTGAACCAGCCTCCTGGTGTCCAGGGTCTGGGGTTCTTGGAGCTTCATGAGCATCTAGCTTTATGGCATCGGGAGCATCTTTGTATGCCGTCATGAGCATCGTACGCGTGTACAG